GCTACAGACAGGCAAAACTTGTGACATGGGTGCTTGCGCAACTGACTGTCTTGGGGCAGTTGACTGATTGTCTGTATTGATTCTTTCCTCTCCTTCGTCTGTGGTTTTGTAGGTGTTAATCGTTGTTAATTAACTGGTTACATTAGCTAGCAACTGTGTATTGAGCTAGTCCCCAAGTGAATCATGACCGATTGATAACTGGTAACACAGGAGCTTTGCAGCTAGGCCTGCAGTAGTTTCCCCCAAGACAGACAGTTGCACAAAGCACCCATGTCACGAGTTTTGCCTGTCAGCCACCAGAGGTGCAGAGCCCCAGAACCCCCCTGCACCGATTGACAGCTGGTAGGCTTCATGGCCGCAGCAGAGGCTACCATCCCTGCAGCTTTCACCCTGCTGCACCTTAACACAGTGTCACCCATGTCATGAGTTTTGCCTGTCGGCAGCTTGAGATGCAGTTCCCCCCTAAATTCCTGCACCTGCATCTTCTTGAAACTTGGCAGACTTTGTGGCCTCACCAGGGGCCACTACCCCAGCAGTGTTCATGTTCCCCCCCACCCCCCCGTGTTGTAACACGAGTTTTCTTTCAAGAATTTGGGGTGCAGTTCCCCCCCAAACCCCTGCACTGATCTTCTTGGAACTTGGCAGGTTTCATGCTCTCAGGAGAGGCTACCATCCCTGCAAATTTCATCCAAACCAGACAAAAAACAAACAAAGTTATAGATATTTCATTGATTCCCGATTATACTATGGCCAGATCTCCAAAGCAGTTCTGAAGCTTTTCCAAACCGCTTCAGAAGCTCCGAACTGCTTTGGAAAGCCTAACAAAGCCAGTGCTTCGATCTGGACATGCTGCTTTGGACGCCAAAGTGTCCAAAGCTTCTCCAGATCTGAAGCCTCACATAGCCCTAATACTCAATACACGACTGATAACGCTCACACAGCAATGCAAAGGACCCTTCCACTTCAAGGAAAGATGTTCCTGGATGGCTGTAAGAGGTGTCAGTGTTCAAGTTGAAACCAGTAGAGAAAAACTCAATGTTTAAAACTATTAAAAGCTTCTGCTGTTGAAGCTCTTCAGAATTTACCAGGAAGTCATTTGATAGATTAGATTCTTGTTACTTGAGCCACAGGGCACTAGACTCAATGGAATGGCTTCCATTAGCCCAAGTAAACTTTACATTGCGCCTTTTCTTAATGAATGAGCATTTAGTTAATCAACTTCAGATCTTTAAGTAATGTTTAATTTATGGCAAATAAAATCTATTATAACAATTCCACGTTAAAACATATATGGCTTTAGTGGCAATTGTTTGCTATGTTTACAATGCTTTTATATGAATACAAGTCTTTATTTAACTTTTTGCACCCATATAAAAAAGGGAGCTGGCTGCATCCAACTTTAAGGATGCAAAAAGGAATTTTTCTAAAGGACTGTAACTAGCAAACTTTGCTTTTTGCAATGTAATAAAAAGTAGCAGAATACTAACATTGTTTTATTTATAAGGTCTTCAATGAAGGAAGTCCTGCACAGACAGCACAAGTCATCATGAAGTAAGTTACTTTAAACCACTAAGATCTACAGCTCACATGATACCTTGACTTACAACCAGCTGTCAGCATGTTGTATGTTAAATGCCATTTAGACGTCACTATAAGTAGCCTGGCTCTTAATATCTAAGCCTTGGAGAACAAAATGGAAAAAACAGACTCACTCCTGTCGCCAACTCTTCACACTGCTGTTTCTTAGATGTTAAGTCCTGAGCAGCCATTTCCAAGTCATACTGCATTAGCTCGTGTTTCCTACAAACCGCCCTGAAAAAGTGTAATTAAAAGATATGTCATGAAATACTTTGTTTTGGTCCTCCTTCCCACTGTTCTCAGCTTTATGTATGGTCCAAATGATCTTCTTGGCAAACATCATGTTTGGATATTTATTTAGCCCAAATTCAACAGTCTTAAGCTTGCCTTGATAACTTTGATGTCAGCATAATAAATTATAAAAACTGTAATATAAAATTACCAACACAAACAACCTTATCCTTTTGTTTCTCCCTTTAAGGCCTCACGTCAAGATTCCACATGCAGTACAAAGTCTCCACATAGTAAGAAAATACTTACAAAATGATTATATTTTTAATCTGCTCCAGTGAAATTCCAAGATGCATGCATGCCATTTTGGATCTTGTGCTTATGTTGTTGGCAAAAATGCATATGACCCTACTAAAGGGTCTTTAATTCTAAAATACTGTAACAAATGTTTGCTGCTTGATTTCTGCTGTGGTTTTAATCCAAAAGGATGCCATAATGCATTTCAAACTTTACTAGCAGATTTAAAAACCACGTGGGAACCATACTGATCACCTACACAAGTGCTGCTGCTCTAGTGAGGGTAGCTTTTTTTTTTTTTTTTTTTTTTTTTTTTTCCCCAGTAATGGGCCTTTTTTAGGGCAAAAG